ACAACGCATTCATTCATCCATGTGCAGATATGAGTACACACGGATAACGCATAAATCTGCATAATACACCAGTCTGCCATTAACATTATGGACACTGACAGGTGCAGTCGTGGATTTTACTCGTTATCATAGGCACTGTACGTGGGTGGGGGATAATATTAGGCAGCAGTGGATGCATTTTTGTCCTTTTAGTTGATGTTTTAGAGCAGTATAGGCAGCGTGGGTTGTGATTTGAAAAGGCCTTGGGTGGCTACGACTGGGTCAGCATCTCAAAAAATGCAAGCTCTTGTGGGGTGTTGCAGTCTGCAGTGGTCAGAGAAAAAAGTGATCACCCAAGGCAAGGAAAGCGGTGAAATGGTGAAAGGGTCACGGGTGGGCCAACGCGCTCATTGACTGCACGTTGGGAATGACAGCCTGGCCCGTAGTGGTCTGATGCCAACAGACGAGCTACCTGTAGCTCAAACTGCTAAAAAAGTTAATGCTGGTTCTAATAGAAAGGTGTCAGAATACACAGTTTGTTGCGTATGGGGCTGCATAACATTATGACCATTTTGATCTTGTGATCATATTGTAACTAGTGTTTTGTTGTGAGGTCGTGCAGTGATATGGAGTTAAATAATACTGTACATGAGTTTTCCATGTGTAATTGTTTGGGTTTACTCTCGACAGGGAAGGTGTCCAGTGGGACGCCATAGACTGGATGGACAACGCCGAGTGTCTTGACCTTATAGAGAAGGTACTAGGAAATTAATTTGTCATAACAAATGTTTCTTTCAATCCTAATATCTTCTGTGCATCTGGCCAGGATGTTGAAATGTTAACAGAGTTTTTTTTTGGTTGAAGTGAGTTAAAATAAAAGCTACTTCTCTGTCATTTAAGAGCTGTGTTGGACGCCTGCCTCGGATGCTCTCTGGAAAACTGATCTAATATTGTTGGACTGATGTCTTAGAAAGTGGTGCTGATTTCATAAATCTGATGCAATAACATGATGTTTTTTTCCCCTCTCTTTAAGAAACTGGGCTTGTTGGCACTAGTGAATGAAGAGAGTCGGTTCCCCAAAGGAACTGACTTCACACTGTTGGAAAAGTTGCACAGCAGACACTCTGTGAGTTATTTACAAAAACAAACTGCATGCATTATTCAAAAAATGTGCTGTGCTGGTGTTAAAATGTCACATTATATTTTATTTTATTTTTTTATTTTATGCTATTTTCCTGTTTCCCCACAGACAAACCCTTATTATGTAAAGCCAAGACTTGCTGACCATCAGTTTGGCATCAAACATTATGCCGGGGAGGTGAGTGATGTACAACTGAGCCACTTCTTGTTGTCATACTGTATGTTATTGTGTGAAATCTGGGAGATTTATGAAAAACCTGTCTGTCTTGGTCAGGTCCTGTATGATGTTAGGGGGATCTTGGAGAAGAACAGAGACACCTTCAGAGACGACATCCTAAACATGCTCAAGGACAGCAGGCAGGACATTCAGATACACTAAACCAGTAGCACTCTAATAAGTCATGAGATTGTATTAATAGGCTCATTTCAGTCATTCAAAGTAGACTTTTTTTGAAAGGTAAATCCAACTTAAGTTTAGCCGTTCTTTTAAGTAACAAGTAATATGAAATTCATTCTACCAATTTTTAAAGATTACTATCAAATCAATCATTGTTGGGTGAAAACCATTTAGAAATTTGTTTTTGGGCTTTTAACCAAACAGGTCTGGGAACCATTTAATCCCGCAAACTGTCAACCTCATCTAAAATCTCATCAGGAAATGACAATATGTGAATTATACAAAGAGTATAGGGAAACAGTTAAGTTCCTGAAACTGTCTGTATTTTTCAGGAACAAAAAAACATCATCATCATTTTTCTTTCTCAAGTTGAGAAATGAGAATCAGTATTTCCACTGAAAGAATTTACAATATGCTGGTGTGTAATCCATTATGTGTCTGTTGCCTCTCAGACTGGACTTCATCTATGACTTGTTTGAGAAAGTTGGCAGCAGGAACAATGAGGAGAAGATGGGCACAGCCAGACGCAAACCTACCGTGAGCTCCCAGTTCAGGGTGAGTGATGCAGGCAGTTTAAGGTTATTAGATACCCGACATAACAAGCAACTTATAACAAAGTGTGTAAAAATCAGAGCCTTGAGAGAACAGTTATGGATAAATGGAAGCACTTAGTCAGATGACCTGTTTTATCTGACACAAACCCAAAGATATTAATTTTATAGTGATATAAAACAAGCCAAACAGAAAAGCCTCACATTTAAAAAACTGGAAACAGGGAATATCTTAAACAATTTATAACTTCAGAGCTAAATATGAACTCTTTAAACTGTTTTTTTTCCCTTTCTTACATGTAACTATCAGTGAAATAATTACTACGGTCATTTTGTTCATTTTTATGCAAAAAACAATATTGTCTTTCTCTGTCTCTTCAGGACTCCCTCCATGCTCTCATGGCCACTCTGAGTGTATCCAACCCTTTCTTTATTCGCTGTATTAAGCCCAACATGCAAAAGGTCAGCCTGTTTCTCTGTCACACCTCTTTTAGTTCTCAAATTCACTTTAATACTGTCTCAGAACCTGACTGACCATCGCCTAATGAAGTATCAGTTCAATAATCTTTGTTATTTTACTTGTAGAATCCAAGTGTGTTTGACCCAGAGGTCGTCCTGAACCAGCTGAGGTATTCTGGGATGTTAGAGACCGTGAAGATTCGTCGGGCCGGGTTCCCTGTCCGCAGAACCTTCAAAGATTTCTTCTCTCGGTAACAAATCTCACATTTTTACCCCTTTGAGATGTTATTGCTGAGATCTCTTTTTTGTTGTCCCCCAGGCTTTGACTTCTTTCTTTTTTGCCTGTCAGGTATAAGATCATTCTGAAAGAGAAAGGGCCAGCAGCAGCAGATGATAAGAAGAGAAGTACAGACTTTCTAATAAAATATGACAAGACCAAGAAAGAGTGGCAGCTGGGCAAGACCAAGGTAAGATCTGTAGTTTTTGGCAACACCCCTTTCAGACTCTAGAAAGCTATCATGACAGATTAACATTATCTCTTGTGTAGTCTAATAGATTTTCTATACATTACATTATACATCTTTCTGGTAAGCCTTCAAATTTGTTTTGCAGGTGTTTTTGAAAGAGTCTCTAGAGCAGCGTTTAGAGAAAGACAGGGATGAAGTCCGACGCCAAGCTGCCATGATAATTCGAGCCCACCTACTCACTTTCTCTGCCAAGTAAGGAGCAGGAAAAATGTTTTTAGGCATTCATGTACAACATTGGACCTCTGCAACAACTAAGGCATCTGTGCTAGTTCTTGTTGACTGTGTTTTATGTTGCTCTTCTGTTTTGTCCACAGGAAGCACTTCCAGCGCATACGAGCCAGTGTCATCACCCTCCAGAAACACTTCAGAAAGCACATCCAACGCAGACGATTCGTGAAGCAATGTAAGGCAACGCTGGTGCTGCAGAGACACAGGCGAGGTCAGGTGGCCCGTGCTCGAGTTCGAAAACTCAGAGAAGAAAAGAAGAAAAAGGAAGAAGAACAAAAGAAGAAAGAGGAGGATGAGAAGAAGCCATTGGCCGAAGGGGAGCAGGAGGAAGTGAATGAAGGAGCAGAGAAAAAGCCTAAATCGCCAGAGGAAACAGCTTCTTCTTCTGTGCGTTTCTTATTATAGTTAAATAAAAGAATTGTCCTCCCATTGATTTACAGAATAAAGCAAATTAGATTTAGCTTATTTGATGCTTGACATGTCCCTTCTCTCCTCTCTTCCCATTCAGGATGAGGCCCGGCAGATGGAGGAGATCCTGCAGTTGGAGCGTGAGATCGAGCGCTTGCAGAAGAAGAGAGAGGACGAGGTGTCCCAGCTGTGTGAGTCCTCCAAACAGGAGCTGCAGCTGCGACGGGATGCCGAGCTCAAGCGGATGAAGAAAGAGGCGTCCCGCAAGGCCACAGAGCTCATCGACCTTCTGAACTTCGGAGGCGTGGATCCTTCACTGGGAGCAGAAGCAGCCAAACCTGCTCCAGAGGTGAAAGCTCCGAAACCTGCGAGTGCCACCAGGGGCGCGTCCAAAGAAGAGGAGGTGGACGAAGGGTTTCATGCGGAGGAGGAGTGCATCCCTCTCCCTGACTTCCCTCCTCCTGCTGAGACAGATGCTCCTTTGGATCAGGAGATATTTGCTCACCTCCCTCCCCCCCCGCCTGCTTTTGCAGAGGGGACAGTGCCTCCTGCACCACCTCCTCTACCCACAGATGGTGTTCCCGGAATTCCTCCTCCTCCTCCTTTACCTCCACCTGGAGATGGCTCCGCTGTCCCCCCACCTCCTCCACCACCACCCCCAGGAGAAGGGGAAAAGAAAGAAGGAGCAAAGACGGAACCGGAAAGGAAGGTGAGCATGGTGGAGAGCCTGGTGGACGGGGAGGAGCCGATCTACAGCATGCCGGCCGATACCGAGTCGGATTACGACCAGGAGGAGGAGGAGGGGTCTGTCAATGCCGGAGATGACAGCTCTGTATCGGGGAGCAACCGTGGGAGCGCCACTGTGGCGGATGATGAGCATCCAAGAAAGTCAACCTGCACCAATGCCAGCATCGAGTCCTACAGAGGCAGCTCTGACTCTGTGAGGACACACACTCACACGCATCCTCACACGCGTGCACGCAGATATGTATGAGCAGCTAAACAGTGAACATTTGCAATTTTGATATGATTTGATTTTAGCATCCTTAAAAAATCTTATAATGTAATAAACAGTTTCCTGGTCAATTGTTATTATTATATAGAAATAATTATTCATGTAATTTTATGATGTTGCAGTATGCAGACAGTGACGATGAACATGACGGCATGATGGACACTGATGAAGAAGTGACTAATGGCAGAGTGACTTTGCTTAATGGAAATGGACCGCCATATTTCCACGGCTACCTCTACATGAAGGGTGGGTATACAGTATATTATGTATTTTCCTAAAGATGGCTGTCTCAATTGTATTTTCACAACAGTTATTTAATTCTCTGCTTCTTCAGCTGGTCTGATGATCCCGTGGAGGAGGCGCTGGTGTGTGTTGAAGGATGAAACCTTCATGTGGTTCCGGTCCAAACAAGAGTCTCTCAAGTCGGGCTGGCTCTACAAGAAGGGAGGAGGCCTCTCTACTCTCTCACGGAGGTTGTTGTAGTTGTTACTGAGCGTAGCTGCATGCTAATTAAATTGAATTCTGGACTTGATCTCTGTTTGGAAATTCATAAAGTAGGAACAAGAAATGAATGAACTGAATGATTATGTAGTTGTCACTGGGTAGATAACATCCTACAAACCTTCACAAGAAATTCAAAATGCACATTCATCCAAATTAAAGCTCTGCTAGCTTTATGTAATGACATGATGCATGAAATAAACAGTTTGGCTGATGGTTGCATGTTGGCTTGATCGTAAGAAAGACAGTCTTGCATGTGATTGACCATCTGTCTTGGATGAATAAGCCCCTGTGTCCTGTTGAGGTGTTCATATGTAACACATGTCTAACTTAATGCTTTGAACCCTCTGCAGTGTTTGAAGACTTCATTGTCCTACACAAGCTGGTGTACTGCGGATGAATTACCTGAGATTTAACTTCTCAAATCCTAGTTAATCTAGTTCATAAAGTCATCATAAACAACTTACATATAACACACTGTTCCAAATACTCACAAAAAAACTAAAGAAAAAGCAGAAACAAGGATAAAAGCATTAAAAGCTAATATCATTTACTTCTATAGGGGTCTTGGAAGTTGTGTTTTTGAATGTGTGATCTTTATGAACTGAAGAGGCTAATTAGATAAGAGAAAATGAAAGGATTTAATGTTACTATACAATCAAAAATATTATTTATAAACCTAAAGTACAGTCAAATTACACTAATGTAGGTTTTGTGTATAGTTACTGCCACCATTGTATTCTATACAATACAATATGTATCATTTATAGGGTCACGTAAACCTTTATAATGTCTAGAGTGGATTGTCCTGGCCTTTGTTTTCATTGTGTCCTATTCTACCTCAGAAACTGGAAGATGCGCTGGTTTGTACTGAGGGACAGCAAGCTGATGTACTACGACAACGACAGTGAGGAGAAGCTGAAGGGAACCATCGACATCCGAGCTGCCAAGTATGATTTCTAGGAAGCTCCAGTCCCAAAACACACACATAACTCCCCTTCCTCATTGTTTCTCGGTTTTCTAGACAACAGCTGCGTCCCTCAGACATGTGTAATTGTGTTTTTACAGGGAGATTGTGGATAATCATGAAAAGGAGAACGCTCTGAACATTGTGACGGATGAGAGGACCTATCAAGTGTTCGCTGAGTCACCAGAGGATGCAAGGTGTGGTGGACAGAAAACAGCAACAAGTTACTATTTGTATCTGAGTTGATTTATATATTCTAACTTCTTACTGTCCTTCTGTGCAGTGGATGGTTTAATGTGCTCAGTAAGGTTCGCGTGTGCACTCCTGAGCAGCTGCTGGAGATGTCACACGAACAGGCCAACCCAAAGAACGCTGTGGTCAGTCTCTGAACACTAGTTGATCTTAACAAGTTATCATTCTTCCGTAGGCAATAGTGCACCATTAATGTGTGTTTTAAATTGTTCTTCTCTCCTCCTCCTCTTTTTTGTCCTTCAGGGAACTCTTGATGTGGGGCTGATCGACTCTGTTTGTGCTTCAGACAACCCTGATCGGTAAGCACTCATTCACTTTACATGTCAAGGAACATTTCGTTGTTTAACCGGTTTTTCAAATTTATTGAATTTTGTAGCTTTTGGTTTGGTGTTTGGTGGCCATCAAAGACCATGATGACCAATAGACCAAATCCCTTTTTAAAAACTGCATTTGAACAACAGACCTGTTGTCTCTTTGTTTCTCTTACCTGGAAAACAGGAAAACTCAACATGCCATCACTATCCATCTTATTCATACAACCCGTAACTATCTAAAGTTGGATTTTTTTATTTAAAAGTCTATCTCTTGACCTTTGCAGGCCCAACTCCTTTGTCATCATTACGGCCAACCGTGTGATCCACTGTAACAGTGACACACCAGAGGAGATGCATCACTGGATCAGTCTGCTACAGAAACCCAAAGGAGACGCCAGGATAGATGGGCAGGAGTTCCTTGTTAGAGGTGAGAACAATGTTTTTTAGATGAACAATCACAAGATCTGACTTTTAGGAATAGTTTGAATAATACCAGACGCAACAGAGAGCCAATTATAGATGGTGATAAATAAAAAGTTTGGATGTTTACTTTGTATATTTAACACTGAAAATATAAGCAAAAAATTGGCAAGATGTGGTAATATATGTGTAATAAAATGTTTGTTAAATACTTTTGTTAAAAGCACTTTAATTTTCTAAACAATATATGTTATCAAGTATCCATTTTATATCTGAAAATTAGAAATTGTGGCCTTGTGGATGCATAAATAATTATCCAATGAACCACATACTTTTTCTTACTATACAAAAACATTACATTCCTCCTTGTCTTTTCTCTTATCCTGCCTTATCATCTTTTAGGCTGGCTCCAAAAGGAGATGAAGACGAATGCTAAGAGCACCTCCCTGAAGCTGAAGAAGCGCTGGTTTGTTTTGACCCACAGCTCCCTGGATTACTACAAGAGCTCGGAGCGAAATTCCTCCAAGATGGGAACTCTGGTCCTCAACTCCCTCTGCTCCATCATTCAGCCGGATGAACGAGTGCACAGGGAGACAGGTGAGGAAAGAGAAATGAAGGGGAAAGGCAGAAAGGGCAAATTTAATTAGGGATTAGACATAGGAGATTTGAGACTAGATGTAAAGAGAGGATTCTAGTTCTACAATTATATGCATGAAAAAAAATGGATTTCATTAAACTAAATAAAGGAGAATGATTATACCGTTCCTTAGAGGTAATATTTTGTATTTCACTTTTAGGTAATAGATGCTTTAATAAATGTTTTTGCAGGTTACTGGAACATCACCGTGTATGGGAGGAAGCATTCCTACCGCCTCTATACCAAGATGCTGAACGAGGCCATGAGGTGGACAGCTGCCATACAGGGAGTCATAGACAGCAAGACACCCATAGAAACTCCAACTCTGCAGCTCATCAGAGACATCAAGGTAAAACACACACAGAGACATTCACAATTAAATCTTCAAATTAATTAACATAAACTGACTCCTAAATTGAATTTGATCTCTTCATGTCCCCTCAGGAGAACAGTGTAAACCCAGACATCGTGGAGCAAATGTACAGGAGGAACCCCATCCTCAGATACACTCAGCATCCTCTGCACTCCCCTCTACTGCCGCTCCCTTATGGAGAGGTCAACAGCCGTGAGTAAAAACTTAAAATCCGCAACCTACAGCCTAAAATCAATTGGGAATGTCTCAGTACCCACACTTGCCTTGAGCACAGCATGCACTGTGAGGTTCAGGAAATGTCACAAATATGCCAATACACAGCTTTTGGACCGACAATAATCAGAAGACATGAAGCAGATTAAGTTTATGACCCACAAGTGTTATTATTCATCTCCAAACACAACAGATTTAAAACCTCCACAGACATAATTTTGTGATATTAACAATATGTTCTTCTTAATGGGACTACTAAAAATAATATTGCATATCTGACACTGTCAAATATATTTTATCAAAGATTTTGAGATACATGTTCCATCCTTTGAAATTGTGTCAGACACAAACATTTCAAAATAATGTTGTGTCTCTTTAATGTAATGATAAACTACAACAGGCTTGAGGTCTTAACAGGCACTTGGGAACTTTGGCAATTACTAGAAATACATCACACAAGTAGACACTTGACAACTCGTAAATACCATAAGTATGGGTATTGGGAGGATCCACTTTCTTATTCTTCTTTCACAAACTGTGCATTTAAAAGTCACTGTCCTTTATTTTCATGATTCATAGTCTTTGACATATACATCTTTTCTATGTCATATCTGTTACTGCTGCCATCACTAGTATCATCAATAAGCTGCATCAATAATATTGCTTTATCTTCTCTATCTTTGTTCACCTTTTTCTTTTCTTTTTATCTTTGTCTGTGTGCAGTACAAAGGCAGCAGGGCTATGCCAGTCTGCAGGATGAGGCTGTGCGAGTCTTCAACTCACTGCAGGAGATGGAGACCCTGGCAGACACAGTGCCCATCATCCAGGGCATCCTGCAGACCTGCCAGGACCTGCGCCCTCTCAGGGATGAGGTACTTTATTTGTCAAGAAAAGTTTTCTTCACTTACTTCTCAAGTCTCAGTGTTCTCTATAGTATTACCTGCCAATTTTAGGCACTTCCGTAGTCTCTGTACTTAACATAACATAACATATAAGAACACATTGCGTATGCAGTGATTTGACACCTGTATTTGGCTGATTAAACTTCAGATTTCTGAATTGCCTCTATATTTCTGTTTTTCAGGTATACTCTCAGGTGATCAAGCAGACCAATCATGTGCCTCAGCCTAACAGCCCAGCTAATCGAGCACACTGGCATCTGCTCACCTGCATGAGCTGCACCTTCCTACCCAGTCGAGCCATCCTCAGATACCTCCGCTTCCACCTCAAGAGGTATGTGTGTGTGTGTGTGTGTGTGTGTCTGCATTACAAATTATGCATCACTCGTGGAAGAAATGGGTTATAAAGGTGTAATGTGATCTGATTCAGGGTACGTGAGCGCTTTCCCGGCACAGATATCGAGCGCTACGCCAGTTTCATTGGGGAATCCCTAAAGAAGACCAAGACTCGTGAGTTCGTTCCCTCTCAGGAGGAGATCGCCGCCCTGCTGGTGAGGCAGGAGATGAGCACCACCGTCTACTGCCATGGGGGAGGCTCCTGCAAGATCTCCATCAATTCGCACACCACAGCCGGAGAGGTGCACATCAAAAAAACAAATTTGACACACCCTCCTCTCAGTCAAACAGCGTGTGTTGTTACTAACTGGTCCGTGCTTTTATGTTATGTTGCTGCAGGTTGTGGAGAAGTTGATCAGAGGTTTGGCCATGGAGGAGAGCAAGAACCTGTTTTCTCTGTTCGAACACAACGCCTTCACAGACCGAGCTCTGGAGAGCAGAGTGATTGTGGCAGATGTTCTGGCCAAGTTTGAAAGGTATCTCTGTTCCTATGAACTAGCAGGATTATCTGTTACAATTATATGTGCACAAATATGTCAATTGTTTGAAGGTTTAAATCCATCTGACTAATTATTTGATAATAATTAGTATAATAAGAGTTGTTGTTGTTATTTTATTCTGTGTGTGATAACTCATCCAGGGTTTGTTTTATTTATTTTTCCAGACTGGCAGGTAGCGAAGAAGAGGAGGAGGAAGGTGAATGGAAACTCTACTTCAAGCTCTACTGCTTCTTGGATGTGGAGAGCATGCCAAAAGAAGGAGTAGAGTTTGCTTTCATGTTTGAGCAGGTGAGCCTTACGGCACAGTGTGGGTGTGAGAAGTAAGAATTGATGCTTTAAATCTTATTCCAGACAGCCATAAACACTCCATCATAGTTGTGGGATGGTTAATCAGTTCAATCACTTTGAAATTGAAATGAGATTACTAATTTTCTTTGTTCAAAGTAATTACCCAACAGCACCCACTCTACACTGCCTACATAGTTAAATGTACTTGTGTTTTAAATTATTTTAATTTCTTGTCCTCATAGCACTTGCCTGTCTTTTCCCACTTATAGCAGCTCTTACCAATTCATATAAGAGCCTTTTCTGTAGTCAATAAATTGGCTCAAACACCTTTTAAATGCATCAGGGAATATCATGTTGAATTAATATATTATATAGCACAAATAAAATGTCTAATACTTTAGTAATTAGTTCAGAATACTACATGTTATTGGTGTGATGTCATGTTTAGTAACAAACTACGATGTTGTATTTTGTGAGAAAAGAAATGTGATAACATTGTCACTCTCTTCTTCTCTACGTCTCTCTCAGGCCCACGAGTCTCTGATAAGTGGTCACTTCCCGGCCTCAGAGGAGACTTTGCAGCACCTGGCCGCTTTACGTCTCCAGTATCTCCATGGTGACGAGGCGGGTCGTGCCGGGTGGAGCCTGGGAACCGTTTATCCAATCGGACGTCTCCGCAATCGCATCCTTCACTCCACCAAACCAGGCGTGGGGGCGGCAAGTGGAGCCGGAGGAGCAGGAGGGGGAGGACCAGGAGATGGGAAGGGCACGGTGGGAGGACCGGGAGGTATCCCGGTCGCGGCAGAGAAACGAAAGACCCCGAGCTTCCTGGATGGCACCTTGAGGAGAAGCTTCAAGACTGGTTCACTGAAGAAGCAGAAGGTGAGTGATGGAAGTAAAGTTTAAGCCCATTTACTGCAAATACAACCATAACTACATAATTAATGTCAATGTTAAGTCAAAATGTAATATTAGTTTAAAAAAATGTGTTTAAATAAACTTAAACAAAGAGACAGCAGTTTCATAAATCTACTGATTTATTTTCATTCAGCATGGAAATGAATGGAGACCAATGACTGCTTGTAACTTATATCAAACAATTTAAACTATAAAGCATGCAATTAAAAAATATATAGTATAAATAATTTCTTGTTGAGCTAAAATTAGCAAACATGCAGATATGCCCTTTAGATAACAATGTCAATATGTAAAACAAAGCACTTGCTTCAAAATGTTTTTGTTTTTAGTAACTTTTAAATTAGAGAAAGCTAAAATATTGATGCTATAATGTAACTTGTATTTTTGTTTTGTTTAATTAAGAATTAGAATTGTAATATTTCCTATACCTTTTAAATGAAATAAGTTACATGAATAAATCATATTTCATTTAACTGTTTAAATTAATTTAATAAATACTTACTTTGGGGAAGATAAATATGAATATAAATCCATAATTTTACACCAATCCACCAGCAAATATTTATTCCCATAAGATCAGTGAACTCAGTCTGGTTTTAAATGTCTGACTGACTGATTGATAGTTTGATCAGTATTCCTCATTGATTGGCTGACCTGTGTTGTTGCAGGTGGAGGAAGAGCAGATGCTGGAGATGTGGGTGAAGGAGGAAACGTCTGCTACACGGACTAGTGTTCTGGAGAAGTGGACCCGGCTACAGGGCATGCCTCAGCATCAGGCCATGCTTAAATACATGAGCATCATCAAGGAGTGGCCTGGATACGGATCCACTCTGTTTGATGTGGAGGTGAGAAAATGATGGATTTCAGAGATTTATGCAAGTAACCTCTTCTTTTCCCTGCTCACTTCTTTTCTGTTGTTTCCTCTGTCTCTGTAGTGTAAAGAGGGTGGTTTCCCTCATGATCTGTGGCTGAGTGTGAGTGCTGACAACGTGTCAGTGTATAAACGAGGTGAACCTAAGCCACTGGAGACCTTCCAGTACGAACACATCACGTTCTTTGGGGCTTCACAGCCGTGCACCTACAAGATCATCGTGGATGAGAGGGAGATGTTCTTTGAGACACCACTGGTGAGAGCTCATGATTTATTTTTCATTCCCTTTAGGGCTGCAAGGATTATTTTCATTATTTTTATCATTGAATCGTTTTTTTTGTAATTAAGAAATGCCCACCACAATCTTGTTATTCTTGTTTTGTCTGAACTGGGGTAGACTTTGTATTGACCTGCTTTCTTCCCAACACATATGCATGTAGTTTTATGAATGTATGTTTTTTATGTTAGTAGTACTCCATAAAGTCCAATATAACTTCTTCTGTGGCTCTGATGGGAGCTTTGTAAAATATTGTCAACAGTGTTAAAAGATGGGCCATAGGAAGTGCAGGATCCAGGGTTTTCGGAGCATGAATTGTACTAGGAACTAAGGCTGCTAGTATACTTCTTCAGAAGTTCTTGTTGGGTGGTCGAATAGCTTCCCCCTGCCACGCCACCTTCCCATCTCGGATTGAGGGAGGCTGTGTCTGTAACTGTGGCCATTCAGAGACGAAGGCTATAAACACATTAGATATTCCAGTGTACATAACACAAACCACCTCTTTTCTTTCTAGTCTTCTTTTTAAATTTGTATATTTTGAGTCCCGTAACTTTATGGAAATCCAATACTAAATTGCTGTATTCCTCTCTAACAGATTAACACTTAATTACACACACAGCCAAACGAGTACACATATTTACCGTCCCACCACTTTTTTTCTCTCTCTGCGTAGGGTTGGGGCAGGATCCCAAGCATGCATGAGGGCCTACATTAACATGGATGTGAAGAAGCGCTGCCAGCATCCCATGTCCAGTGACCAGGCATCACCAGTTCCTGGCGTCAGGTGATCGCCCACCAACCAGTCAGGAGCCCTCCCGCGTTCATCCAGTGGCAAACAAATGTGCAGCCCCGCACCCCCCGGGCATTGGTTGCGTCCGTCTCGTTTGGATGGAGGCCAGTCGCACCAAACAACTAATCCTCAGATGAACCTCAGGGGTGGTGGGATGGAGCGTCTATGAAGAATGGGGAAAGCAAGAAGTGGACACCAGGGAGGGCCAAACGCACACTCTGATGGCACTGGGTTTCACTTGAAAAAGGGATTGGGGGATCTATTAGAAATGAGCATGACGAACCAAAAACAAACCTGTATTTTGGATGGTCCTTTCAAATACAGTAACCCCCTCCAAGCAGTTGCAGTCCCTGCATGTAGATGTTCAAAGCACACCTCCAAATTCTCCTCCCGCTTTCCTTTGCCGGACAAAACTCAGTAATAAAAGCACAACTCAGGCCGGCCAGGCCCCAGCCCCCAGTCTGTCCCAGGTGGCCCCCCCCCCCCCCCCCTCCTCAGCGCACTGCCAGACAGAAGAAAAGCCACACTTTCTCAGTTAAATCTGTTTCTTTCTCTCTCCTCCAATTTCAGAGTCTCTCTCTTTCTCTTCTCGTGTCCTCACTCCTGTTGCATCTTTGTTTGGTATTAAGTTATAATGCTGAATTCTTGTTCTTGCTTGCTTTCTCTCTGTTGTTCTTTCGCTGTCGTTTATCTGTGATATCAGCTGTTATTACATCTGTCTGTGACTGAGAAAAAGGACTCGATGATTCTTCTTCGGGGCTACCAAAGGGGAAAAAGATTTCCCTGCTTGACATAGTGTTCACTTACTCACTCGTCAGTGCCACCGTGTGGCCACAAGAAGAAAACACAGCCAACTGAAGTGGCTTTAAATATTTCTGAACATTATCAAATAGATATTCTTGAGAAGAAAGAGTGGAGGCTCTGTGGTCACGTTTGGCTTGACATGGAGAGTCTGTGCATGGCCTCACTTGGCTCTACAAAGAAAACAGTATCAACCTGAATAGTATGAGACAAAACATTTCCCTATCTATGTCTACATATAACACACACTGCATATATCTATTGTATATTCACATACACATAAACTGAACCAACATGTATTGTTTTGTACTGTATATCACACATTATAAGAGTTATAAATGAATTTTCGGTGGACACTGCACTGTACAGTATATAGATGCCATACTAAATGCAATGTGACACCTCTCGTGTAAAATACATGCAAGTGAATGGTGTTAATAATGACCAGTGTATGTCTGAATATGATGCCAATACTGTACATCGTTCACTGGCTGTGCCATTAATGTGACTCACAGAGAAATAAGAGTTAATAGTAAAAACACAGACCATAATGAAGCTGGCGGACAGTGGTCATGTTTTCACAGTGTTCTGATGAATTTATCATTGTTGTTATCTGTGGGACTCACTCTGCAGCATCAATTGGAGCCATAAAATACTGTATATCCTTGTCTGCTCATGCTATTCTCACTTTTTTATTTACTAAGATCAGTGACTTATACAATAATGCATAAGAGCTCCAGTTTGTCTGTGTTTCCAAACCTGTTTATGAACATTTATGACTTTTATTACTGATACTACTATTATTACTGTATGCCCCCAGCTATCTTAACCACCCTGAAGTGCTGTGTTGTAATGCTGCTGTATGT